TGGCCTGGCATGCTGACCCGTAAATCAGTTTTCCGTCGGCATTATCTCAAGTTCATTGATGATACAACCAAACAAATCTTCACAGCGCCCCTGGAGAGCTTTCAGGAAATGCAACCTCTTCGTTATTCACTTGCTTCTGTTCTGAGATCTCTAGCCCCAGAATTTGTTGAGTCAAGGTCAGAGAAGTTTGACATTAGAACAAGAAAGCGGCTATTTGATCTTCTACTCTCCTGGTGTGACGATACAGGCAGTACATGGGGTCAGGATGGTGTGAGTGATTATAGACGTGAGGTAGAACGTTACAAATCTTCTCAACATGCTCGGTCAAAAGATTCTGTTGACAAGATTTCATTTGATAAAGAGCTTAGTGAACAAATTGAAGCAATCCAGTGGGCTTCCATGAATGCTATGGCTTCACTCTTGTATGGGCCTTGCTTTGATGATAATGCTAGGAAAATGAGTGGCAGGGTCATTTCTTGGATAAATAGCTTGTTCATTGAACCTGCACCCAGGGCCCCTTTTGGTTACTCCCCAGCTGATCCTAGAACTCCATCTTACTCTAAATCCGTAGAAGGCGGTCGTGGCACTACTGGTCGTGATAGGCAAAGGGGGGGTCACAATCGTGTTTCTTTAGCCAAATTGGCTTTGAAGAATCTTCTACTTACAAATTTGGATCTCTTTCCTGCTTGCATCGATCAGGTAAGTTTAAGTTTATTCCTTTATTCCTTATATGATGCATTATGTGCCTTGTTAAAATTTATAACTGAGTTCTCTTTTGAAGATTATAATTGAAAATTATGTTCTGGATAATTTGTAAAGATTTTTGTAGTATAAAAAAGCATATTTGTATGCACAAGAGCTGAGGCTAAAAATCAAATGATTGAGATATAAGTTTCAAATTCTGGGTCTTTGGAAGTTGAGGTGCTTTAATTTTTTTTAATCAGATGAATTACCACAGCCTCCAAATCCTCGACTCTTGGCTTGAAAAGTTATGGACCTGGTGCGATGATGTTATGATTAGTTCTCCATTCATTTGGATGCAAAAGTGCCATGAAATACATCAACTTCAGCTACCATACAAGGAAAATGGTTGAAGATGCTTATTGGTCTCAAGTCTCAACATGTTATATGTGGCTGGTTACTTGAACCATGATTTAGCCTTATAGTGATTATTGAGTTAAAATGGTGAATAATGATGCATGAGGTAAAATGGTGAATAATGATGCATGAGGATTGAATCTATAATAAATTTGAGGAACAAATAATGCAGTTGTCTTCCTTTGCCCTATCCCATCCTTTTACTAGCTTATCTCTGTGTGGCATGCTTGACCTCTGTGATTTGCTCATATTCACCACCTCCTACGTACACTTTTGGTTTGAAATATTTTTTTCTGTGATTTGATTATGCTTTTTTAAGAACCAGACTCTAAGATTCATTTCAGCGAGTGTAATTGGCTACTTTCTTTTTCAGTGCTACTACTCCGATGCTGCCATAGCTGACGGTTACTTCAGTGTGCTGGCTGAAGTTTATATGCGGCAAGAGATTCCAAAATGTGAAATCCAGAGGCTCTTAAGCTTAATTCTGTACAAGGTGGTGGACCCTAGCAGACAAATCCGTGATGATGCTCTTCAGATGCTTGAGACTCTTTCTGTTCGTGAGTGGGCTGAAGATGGCACTGAGGGGTCGGGGAGCTACCGAGCAGCGGTTGTCGGTAACCTTCCTGATTCATACCAACAATTTCAATACAAGCTCTCTTGTAAACTCGCAAAAGATCACCCTGAGTTGAGTCAACTTCTTTGTGAGGAGATAATGCAAAGGCAGCTTGATGCAGTTGATATCATAGCACAACATCAGGTTCTAACGTGCATGGCTCCATGGATTGAGAATCTTAATTTCTGGAAACTCAAAGACTCGGGTTGGAATGATAGACTTCTTAAAAGCCTTTACTATGTCACATGGCGGCATGGGGATCAGTTCCCTGATGAAATTGAAAAGCTCTGGAGCACGATTGCTAGCAAACCAAGGAACATAAGTCCAGTTCTAGATTTCTTAATCACAAAGGGAATTGAAGATTGTGATTCCAACACATCTGCTGAAATAAGTGGTGCTTTTGCGACATATTTCTCAGTTGCAAAGCGGGTGAGTTTGTACCTAGCACGGATATGCCCTCAGCGTACCATAGATCACCTGGTCTACCAACTGGCCCAGCGAATGCTAGAGGACAACATCGACCCACTTGGTCTAGGTTCCAAGGGTGATTTGGGTGGAAACTTTGTGTTGGAATTTTCTCAGGGGCCTCCAGTAGCCCAAGTTACTTCTGTTGTGGACAGCCAACCACACATGTCACCACTACTTGTACGTGGATCCCTTGATGGTCCGCTCAGGAATGCTAGTGGGAGCTTAAGCTGGAGAACAGCTGGTGCTGGTCGAAGTGTCTCCGGCCCACTAAGTCCGATGCCTCCTGAGTTGAACGTTGTTCCAGTAAATGCAGGTCGATCAGGGCAGCTACTTCCAGGTTTAGTAAATATGTCTGGCCCTTTGATGGGTGTTAGAAGTTCTACTGGAAGTATACGCAGTCGTCATGTCTCCCGGGACAGCGGCGACTACCTCATCGACACGCCAAACTCTGGTGAAGATGCGCTTCATCCTACGGTTGCTACACATGGGGTCAGTGCTAAAGAACTACAGTCTGCATTACAGGGTCATCAGCAACATTCTCTTACACATGCTGACATAGCATTGATCCTCCTTGCTGAAATTGCTTATGAGAATGATGAAGATTTCCGCGAGCACTTGCCTCTACTTTTTCATGTCACCTTTGTTTCAATGGATAGTTCAGAGGACATTGTTCTAGAACACTGCCAGCAATTGCTTGTTAATCTACTATATTCACTTGCTGGCCGGCACTTGGAACTTTATGAAGTGGAAAACATTGATGGAGAGAACAAGCAACAGGTTGTGAGCTTGATCAAGTATGTTCAATCAAAGCGCGGAAGCATGATGTGGGAGAATGAAGATCCATCTGTTATGAGAACAGAGCTTCCTAGTGCAGCACTTCTCTCTGCACTGGTCCAGAGCATGGTGGACGCCATCTTCTTCCAAGGAGATTTACGAGAGACTTGGGGATCTGAGGCACTGAAATGGGCCATGGAGTGTACATCACGACACCTTGCTTGTCGCTCGCACCAGATATACCGTGCATTGCGGCCAAGTGTTACAAGTGATACTTGTGTATCGCTCCTCCGTTGCCTACATAGATGTCTGGGAAATCCAATACCCCCTGTACTGGGGTTCATTATGGAAATCCTGTTAACCTTGCAGGTAATGGTAGAAAATATGGAGTCCGAAAAGGTGATACTCTATCCACAACTCTTCTGGGGGTGTGTAGCTATGATGCACACAGATTTTGTCCATGTATACTGCCAGGTTCTTGAGCTCTTCGCTCGTGTGATCGATCGCTTATCATTCTGGGATAGAACAACTGAAAATGTACTCCTTTCAAGCATGCCTCGGGATGAACTAGATTCTAATCACGACATTGGAGATTTCCAACGGATTGAATCTAGAATGGGCTACGAGCTGGCTCCATCTTCTGAGAATCTTCCAACATTTGAAGGGGTGCAACCTCTTGTACTTAAAGGGCTGATGTCAACTGTTAGTCATGGTTTCTCAATTGAGGTTCTTTCACGAATTACAGTGCACTCGTGCGATTCCATATTCGGGGATGCAGAAACGAGACTTCTGATGCACATCACAGGCTTACTCCCATGGCTCTGCTTGCAGCTTAGCAAGGATCCACTGACAGGACCAGCTTCACCACTTCAGCAGCAGCACCAAAAGGCATGCTCAGTTGCATCCAACATTTCCAATTGGTGCCGAGCAAAATCGTTGGATGAATTAGCTATTGTTTTTATGGCATACTCTCGTGGTGAGATCAAAAGTATTGAAATCCTTCTGGCATGTGTCTCCCCTCTACTCTGCAACGAGTGGTTTCCAAAGCACTCGGCACTGGCTTTTGGGCACTTGCTGCGCCTGCTAGAGAAAGGACCGGTAGAATACCAGCGCGTAATACTGCTAATGCTGAAGGCATTGCTCCAGCATACCCCTGTAGATGCTTCCCAAAGTCCGCATATGTATGCAATTGTCTCACAGTTGGTTGAGAGCACGTTGTGCTGGGAGGCATTGAGTGTATTAGAAGCTCTTCTCCAGAGTTGTAGTTCAATGACAGGTTCACACCCACATGAACCCGGGTCCTTCGAAAATGGACTCAGTGGAGTTGAGGACAAGATACTTGCTCCTCAGACATCGTTTAAGGCTCGCAGTGGGCCCTTACAGTATGGCATTCCAGGTTGCATTCCTTTACCCCCAGGGATTACAAACGAATCAGGACCCTCACCAAGAGAGGTGGCTCTGCACAACACACGGCTTATTCTTGGGCGAGTTCTTGATACCTGCATTCTGGGAAAGAGGAGAGACTATAGAAGGTTGGTTCCTTTCGTCACAAGCATTGGGCATCCTTAACTCGAACATCTCCATATGTAACTTCTTTTATGTAGAGGCAATGTATATAACCATCAAGTAGTTTTGTAGCTAGTCTTGAATTATTTTCTCTTCTGTAGTTCTAGTAATTTGAGATCCTTTCATTTATAGGGTTCCTATTTAAGATTTGCAAATGTAAATATATTTCCTTGCTTACAACGTTAATCTGTTTCCTATTTTCTTTTACCCTTAAAAATTTTGTCTCGATCTAACAGCAATGTGTTTTCAAGTCCCTCGATCATGGAATCTACAAGATATGATTAGAACTGCATAATAGAATGTCCACTGGTTGAGTCTCACATGTTATTTTACAACATTCTTGGGGTGTTTTTCAAATAATTTTTTTTTAAAGAAAAACATCACAAGGATTACCATATAATATATTAAGAATAAATTAAAGCGGTAATTGACATATATCTCCAATCAAGAGACTGTGAGTTTGATTTTTCATTCCCACATGTTGTACTAAAAATAAATAAATAAATAAAAATAAAGAAATTAAATATATGTTGTCTTTTAATGCCCAAGTTACTAGGAAATCTTTAAATCTAAGTCCACCTTGCTTTTTTGGTTTGTACATTTCCTCGTAGCTTCATTTTGTATGAAGGGATTGTTTGTATCACCACTTGAGAGTCTGCTTCCCACCTCTAGAGAAAAATTTTACTTTCTTTTCCAACTTTGGATTGCTCTTCACACCCCCTTTACTTAAAAGGAAGCTCTAGATTCCATTTCATCTTCAGAGGAGACAACTTTTCACAAGCCTTCCAAGAAATCCGATCATCTCTGAAGTTAAAATTCCATTGGCAGCTGATGCTCATGGTTAAAAATCCATTGCCATCATTTTGATCGGTGAAACTAAAAGAAGGCGTAGGATTTGACCTCTTCTTGATGCAAACTTTCTTCTACCTCCTCAACCCGTATGGTATCTGTATCGGGCGCATATCCGGCCCTTCTCATATCACAAGTCAGCAGATCAAGCAGCTCGTAGATCTCTTTGCATCTGGGATGTGCTTTCTCACAAACAAGAAATGTATGGACTTCATCCTTTACCTCAATCCAGCTGCAACCTGGCTCCTTTTTCAACTTGTAAGATCTCATTGTTTGTCTCATCTTAGAGACTTGTTCCCACATGCCTGCATCGGCATAGATATTTGATAGAAGCGTGTAAGCAGCTGAATCTTCTGGGTCCAATTGCAAAAGTGAACTAGCAGCCTTTTCTGCAACTTCTACATTTCCCTGGATTTTGCAGATACTAAGCAGAGTTCTCCATATAATTGCATCTGCTTCAAATGGCATTTCCTGAATGAGCTTTAATGCCTCCCCTACTTGGCCTGATCTGCCTAGAATATCCACCATACACGAGTAATGCTCCAGTTGAGCATCTAAAGCATAGATACTTGTCATTTTGTGAAAATAACAGAGGCCCTTTTCTGCATTTCCCACGTGCGAACAAGCTCGGAGGACCGAAACAAAAGTTGCATGGTTTGGTTTTATATTCTGAAGGAGCATATGCTCGAAAATCTCAAGGGCCTCTTCCCCAAGACCGTGGTGGGCACATCCACAGATCATGGCATTCCATGTCACTGAATCCCGCTTGGGGGCTTTCTGAAACATAAGCAGAGAATCATGCATATTACCGCATTTCGAATACATATCAACAAGAGTGCTAGTTATATACACATCTGATTGCAATTCCAGCTTGATAATTTGAGCGTGCATTTGCTTTCCCAGTCCAATAGTTGCCAAGTTAGCACAAGTATCGAGAACTGTTGCATAGGTAAAATTGTCAGGTTCTACACCCATTTCCAACATATAAGAGAAAAATCTCTGAGAATCTTCACTTTTCTTTTGCAGTGAGAACCCTGAAATGATTGCATTCCATGAAACCATTGTTTGTTCTTCCAGCCTGTAATGGATCTTTTCTGCCTCTTCCATCAATCCACACTTGCAGTACATGTCAACTAGAGCACTTCCTACAAACATGTCCAGACTCATTCCAGATTTAATAATTCTGCCATGAACCTCCATGCCCGTACTGAAAACTTGCTGACCTGCACAAGCTTTCAAAACACTCCCGTACGTGAACGCATCAGGCTCCATCTTTGAACATAGCATTGTAGCAAAATGTGAAAGCGTTTCTCGATCGTTTTCGTTCTGCTCACAAGCTGTAATAATAGCATTCCAAGACACTGCATCCCTTATTTCCATTTCATCAAACATGCAAGAAGCCTCAACTAAAGCTCCACACTTGCCATACATATCCAGGATGGCATTTGCAACACAAATATTTGACGATAAATGAGACTTGATGGCTAATCCATGTAGTTGAAGCCCCTCAGAAAGCCCTTTGATCACAGCTGCTGCACTTAATGCACCAGAAAGAGATATCTCATCGAAACTGAAACCGGACTTCTGCAACCGAAGAAATAGCTTTAAAGCTTGAAACCCTTGCTCATTTCGGGCATATCCAATTATCATGGCATTAAAAGATTGCAAGTTATAGTCTGGTAACAAGCTAAATAGCTTGTGGGCATCAGCCATGTTGTCACACTTAGCATACATATCCATAGTAGCAGTTCCTACAACAACATCAGATCCAAAGTCAGCCTTTAGTGAATGGCAATGCAACTGAGTACCTAATCTAGAGGCAGATAATCCTGCACAAGACCTGAAGACACTAGCATAAGTAGACTGACTCACCCCAATTCCCCTTCTCTGCATTTCTTTGAATAGCTTTAGGCCCCTAATCAACTGATCATTCTGAACGCAGCCTGCAATTGCAGCACTCCATGAAATCCAATTCTTATCTGGCAATTGTGAGAAAACTCCAAGCGAGTCGTCCAATTTGTTACATTTAGCATACATATCCACTAGAGCACAACCTGTTACTACATCATTATCAAAACCCATCTGGACTGCAACACCATGAATCTGAATTCCCAGAACATGATCTTCCATCACAGAGCAAAGTTTTAATGAAACCGCTAGCGTAGTATGGTCGAACATAACCCCCATCTCTCTCATATTTAAAAAGACAGCAACTGACTTCTGTACGTCACCATTTTGTAAGTACCCAGAAATCAAAGAGTTCCATGAAACCACATCACAATGATGAGGCATTGAATCAAACACCGACCGCGCAACCGCCATCTTCCCAGCCCCTGCACAGCCAAAAATCATGGTGTTCCAAGACACGATGTCCCTCTGCGGCATTTTTTCAAACACCTTAAATGCATACTCCAAAGCGCAACATTTGACGTACATTTGGATTAAACAGTTGGTTACAAAGACAGTGGGCTCGAACCCAGATAGAATCATGTGAGCGTGAGCTTCTTTACCGGGTCTAAGAGCTCTCCGGTTCGAGCATTCCTGGAAAATATGAGAGAAAGTCTTCCTGGTGGATGGAATTGTTTGGGTCGCGGTGAAAGTTGAAGATGCATATAATTGTAGAAACTTGCAGGATGATTTTAATGGGAAAGATGAAGTTGTTATCGACCAAAAGCGAGAGAAATGAGCCATCAACAACGGTACTCATGCTTTGGCGGGTCTTTGACCTTCGAACTTAGGCTTCAGTTGTCTCTGCCATGGAGTTCGAACACACCTTGCAACCAAGAGAAGTACTTGACAAAAATTTAGGGAATAATTAAAAAAAAAAATCCATTAGTCACAGTAATGGGAGATTTGAAATTGAATCACGACCTTTCGATCATGTCCATATTTGACGAAAATAATTTAATTTTAATTTAAACATTGGCCTAACCTACGGGGAATTAGAAATATCTTATCCACTAATCATTCAATTATTTTTTTACAGGCTCTTCTAAAGATTATCAATTAAAAAAAAAAGATTATAGTTTTATATGCATATCAATTTAATATTTGTGTCTATATCATGTCCAAACTTAATTAAAAATAATATTTTTAAAAATTTTAATAAAAAAAAGACCTAATTAAAAATTAAATGGATAAAAGAAAATTCAAATTTAATCACTAAACTCAAGGACCATGATCCAGTTTATTTTTAGGATATAATATCCTTTTTTTTAATGATATTTGTGAGTGTCTGAATCGAATTATAGGACTAATCTCATGGGACAATCGCGTGACCCTACTATATTTGGTGTTGGAAACACATAGGAAATTAATTCCTAAGATAGGAATTACATCCATCTATTTTCATGATGTAATATTCTTTAATATATATATATATATATATATATATATATTAAATAAATCGGACGCCTAAAAAAATAGTTTATTTTGTCCCTCGAACTACCATAACTAGTCACAAATCTTAAAAATAAACAAATCCAAGCATGTCACAGCTTCAAAGGAGACCGTGACAGTGAGGCTCGCTTGAACCCCAAGTGTCAGTTTCGACGTGGATGCAAATCAAATGACAGGCAACAACATAACATCCCACACCCAACGAAGTTCATGTTGTGCACAAGTGATGGCCCCACTCCACCCCATCAAACACACGATCGACTGCAAAAAATTATTAATATTACTGATTATTATTTTTTTTAAGTACAATATTACCACTTACTTAAAACTTTAAAATTAAAATTAATTTACTTAGTTTAGTACATGGTTTACACGGTTTGATTTGTTTATTAAAATTTACTACAAAGTTAAAAAAGATCTGTTTTTTTTTTTGACAAAAAGTAATAAACAAATATCTGAAAATTAGTTTATGAAAAGCATGACTTGGTCAAAATCCCCCAAATTCCATTTTCGCCCAAAACCAAAACCAAAACCGAAAAACCGAAACCAAAATCAAAACCAAAAATTTCAATGGCGTATTTCTCCATTCCTAAGCTTCCTCACCAACCTAACATGCCTCTGCCTGATGAAACTGACGCTGATTGTGATTCTCCGGTGCCCACTGTACCATCCCTCCTCCCCAACCCCATGGATTTCAACCCCTTCGCCGCCGTCTCATCCGTCGTCGCATCTGCCGACGATTCCCTCCCCTTCGACACCGATTGGTTCTCCGATTCCGACTCCGACTCCGAGCGTGATGTTAGTTGCTTCGTGACTGATCTTTTCGAGAATCGTCGTTTCACGGATCATTTGCACGCTCTTGGCGATCCTGATCGGGGTTCCGACCCATTTACGCCTTCTGCTAACGACTTGGACTTGGGCATTTCGGGATTCGAAGACAGCGGTGAAATTGAATCCAATTATATTGAGGAGCTCTGGTCGACCTTCGCGGTGGAGTCCGATACCCGGGTTTCCGAGACGGATGTGAGCAGCATGCAGGTCGCGGTTGCGGATGCAATTAATGGTGGCCTTCGGCTTGTTGATGTGGATTCGGACTCCGATTCTGATAACGGAATGCTTGGTGCGCTGCAACTCGTGACGGGGGATGATGACGAGAATGATGTTAATTGGGTTGAGAGTTCCAATCCTCTCTCGGATAACTTCAGCTTTTGCATCCAGGGCCAGAGGATTTCGTACGAGGATTTCGAATGGGAGGAGGTGGAGGAGCGGGTGGACGACATGGAAAATCCAAGCGTAGTGGTGGATGGGGCTGAGGAATTGTCTCTTGCATCGGGGTTCTCCAATGAAGACGAGTCGGGAGAAGAGGCAAGCCGGTGGGAAATCCTATTAGTAATGAACGACATTGGGAGGAATACGAACTGGGAACGGGATAATGATTCTGAGGCATACATAGCCGAGCAGGATGATTATATGTACGCAGCAGAATATGATACCCTTTTCGGACAATTCGTGGAAAATGAGAATTCTAAGGGTAGTCCTCCAGCAGCTAAGACTGCTGTGGAGAATCTTCCTCTGGTTGAGTTGAAAATGGAGAATGTGCTGACAGAGGAAGTCGTTGTTTGTGCTGTTTGTAAGGACAAATTTTCAATGGAGGAGAAGGTGAGGAAGCTTCCCTGTGGCCACTATTACCATGATGATTGCATTCTGCCCTGGCTGAATATCCGAAACACATGTCCAGTTTGTCGGTATGAGTTACCTACTGACGATCCAGATTATGAGCGTAGGAAGAGCCAAAGGGCGGGTGGTGGCCTGCAAATGGATTTTCAGGTCAGGTACAATTTTGAACATATAGCTTAAGATTAGTGCAACCTGTGAGAATGAAACCTGTGAATAGCATCGACGATGGTTGCTTTTAGATGGAAAAAAGTTGCTCACGATTTTGCATTTGTAAAGCTTTTGTGGTAAGTATTCTATAAAATTCTCCGCGTGGAACTTCTAGCATTGCTGTTGATACTTGATACGCTCCAATTATCTCAACAGGTATCCATTCTGATTCAGTGCTTGGTAAGTTTTAGTCACTGATAATAGTAGGGAGTTATACTGTCTCGTATCTTGTTGAATTTAATTTAGGAATCATATTGTTGTAGACAAGACATACGAATGATCATATACTACTACAAGTGCTGGGCGTTGAAATTGTATACTTGTGGAGTATATTAAATTAGTATATTTGTGTGCTCGAGTATCTGTTGGTAGACTTGTAAAAATAGGAACTTCTGATACGAAATTTCATGTGGCGCAGTTGCTTGATTTTGGGTCAAAATAATTCTGATAAATTAGCTGAATATGCAGGGGGAGGAGGATCTTCTGTCATCGGGTTTGGTTCTTAATACTGACCACCCGGTTATTCGACATATTTCTTCTTTGTGGATTTGCTTTTGCCTTTTGACTGTGTTTCGGAGAGTTTTTTTCTTTCCTCCTAGTATGCTAAAAGTGCTTTGATGACAAATAAAAGCATTTTTTAAAACTTCTTTCATGGTGCTTGACTGCGTATGAAAAACTGTTTATGATTGAAGAAACACTTAATTATTATTACTTTTTCAGGAGAGATAGTAAGAAAGTGTTTTAATTTACAAAATACTAGGCTAAAAAACACTCCCAAGCACACTTTCAATCTTTCGTGATATTAGTCCAAACCGGGATTTTATTAAATGAAGCTTTTGTTTTTCGTGGAAAAGAAAATCTTAAAATATGGCATTCCTCTGGATGATTACGAAAGTGGGGTGGATGGTAAGAATTTTTAAGAACTATTGTGGGTTTCTTTTTTTACAATTTGACAGAAAAGCATATCTTTTATCAAACTATCTTCCAAAAGCGTAGACTCCTAAACTCTGGTGTTATGGTATATGTATTGTTAAATTTAACCATGTGTTGTCTTAGTCTTCCTTTCTTTAAAACTCTCATAAATTCTTTTATGACATAAATAATTATGGTGTTAGTTTCTGCGAGTTAAATCTCAGGTTTCCTATAGCAGTAGATGGGTTTATCATACAATAAGTCAATGGCAGAGCTTTAAAAGTAGTTATATATATATATATATATATAGTAGTAAATAAACCTGATTCCCTCAGCCTTCATTTGCTTTATCAGAATATCTTCATTGATCAAAAATTTGAGCTGTGCGAAAGAAGCTTTCATTTCCTTCATGGTTTATATGATGTTTGCTGCTGCTAGAACACCATATAGACCGAGACATGAAACAAAGGTTGAATAGCAGAGGCATAGTGAAATCTTCCTTCATTTATCCCCATATTCCTGATTCTTTTTTTCTCCCCACTTCTGAGTTGTGAATCTTTGATTGACTCTGTTTCCTAATGAAAGAAAGTCTCTGTTTTCTTATTAATGTGAAAATGAAATGTCTGAGATATGTACCACACTTCTGTTATTACACGTTAGACCTCATTTTTTCACTGTTGAGAACCATATTCATCACCATATTACCCTTGCCCAGATTCTCCTTTCACCCTGGTTTTGATTGAATGATTCTTTTTTCAGTGAGTGAAACTCTTTCATTGTGAATTGGAAATTGAGTTTGAAATCATTGAAATTTTTACTACACCTCTGATTTCACCCTTGGTTTGATTATAGAGTTGTTTGTTGTGGCCAATTTCTTTGAAAAGTTGAGGTTTCTGAGGAGTAATGTGGTTGAGTTATATTCATAACCCCTTTCATTCAAATCAGAAGTTTACTTCAACCATGTGATTTCACCCTTGGTTTGATTAGATGCTTTTTTGTTTTTCTTTTCCTCTCATAGATTGCATTGTTTTCAGGTTATTGGAATATGATATTATTAGAATAATATTTTTGTGTATGTTGCGTCATCTTTTTTGTTTCACTAATATGAAAATTAGTAAACTATATAGATTGAAATATTAACATGTTCATTTGGTTACATATATCTATAGGAATAGTTAGATGTTAGTTTATTTCATAGTAAAGATTATTTATTTAGTGAAGTTAGGTCTATTTACTTATAAATAATTTGAATTGAGGTTTATTTTTAAAGTTAATTTTTATGTAATAGTTGAGAAATTCAATAGCTCGAAACTAGAAAGATGGTATGATATTATTTATTTTCAGTGAGCTGATAACTTTACCTACTAATCGTTGAATTATAATTTGTAAGGTGGATTATGCTCATTAATTTGAATGATAGTCCTAAATATTGCGAAGTGGACTCAAATGTAAATGACAGTTTAATATTAAATTGTCATTAAAATGTTCTGACATGTTTAAAAATTTAGAAAACGAAATAATCGTCCAAAAATATTTCTCTAAAGCATCATATTTTAAATAGATTATTTTGCTAAGCATTTGTTATAACCTTATTAGTAATCTAATAATAGGTTTTCTTTTAAATTTTAACTGTTATTGGAAAGTTAATATATGATATCATTAGTATTAAGAAAAAGTAATATTTTGAAATTTTAGTAGTTTTGACAAACAAATATTTGTAAATATTAAATTTACAAGAAGTTTCATATTGCGAAATGGTCCATAATCTTTTAGGCGTAATTCTTAAATTATTATGTTATTAATGTATTTATATACGTGAACATGTTACTCGGGAAAAATGGATTCCGTTGATGGGAAGTGAATTGAATTTTAAAGATTAACAACCAAATTGAGAATTACTCAAAAGAATAGAGAGTATTGTGTATATTTTACTTTTCTCTTAGAATAGAGAATCTAGCTAAGCCGCTTTATATTTTGTATTTTTTTTTTTATAAATAGCTTGTTGTCTATGATATTACTTGTCTCATTGGGGGGATGTATTTGTATTTGTGATACTTAATGATTACCCATAAAGATTTTTCTCATTGTGCTTGTCTCAAAAAACTTGAACTTTTTGAGTTTGAAAAATTCAACTATTTTGGGAATTTTCATCATGATTATGGGTTGATAAAACTTGAATTAGGGATAGGGTCGAGCACCACATTGATTGGGAGAAACCTAGTAAAACTCATAAAATCTAGTGTAACTTAAAAAGTATGAGTTTAGAAATTAATGTCTTTGATTATATTTGATTGTGAAAATTAATCTTGTCTAACCTAGGAGTTCTCTCGAGGGAACTTTCCAGTGGTAATTTTTCGAATGGTAAATTAACCTAGGAGTGGTCCGAGTTCTATTGACAGATCTTGGTGTCACATTCAGAGGCATGCGATTACAAATCATTTATTGATATGGTGGAAAATTACCCTCAACCAAACCAAATCCGACCCGAGCCGCGAACACCCTTACAGAAAGTAGAGAGTACTAAGTTAGACTTTTTGATTGAGATAACATCTATTAAATTTCGATAAACTTTAATTTAGAAGTAAAAAAGCAACATATCCTTCCCTTTGAATGTTTTTCTTATATAGACTTCATGCACAAAACTATTTAAGTTTAGTTGGTTCCTTAACATAATTAGAATCAATAGCATCTATGTTAACCAATACCTACCAAAAAAAAAATTTAATTGCACAAAAATCAACCTTAATTAATGCAATAAACTCAAAGTTTATACTATTATTGTTTTACATAAGATTATATTGTAGAAAAAATGAGTAATTATGTCTTCTCATTGGATGATCTCAAAAACTACTCCCCAAGCAAACTAGGGCATAAAATGAAGTGGTAGCTATCAAGTCAAGAGTTGCTAATATGTTGTTGTGATTATCCTAAAAAATGATAGTGGATTAAGATTTTAGTCCAAGTTTTGGTGAGCAAAAGAAAAATGCCCATAAGTGATTGTCTTAATCCAAATTAAAAATGCACCACCACTACTTTAAATGCACATCTTAACATCATGAACTAAAGCACACATTCATTGCATATACAAATATGGAAAATCAAATAAAGTTCATAATTTATTGATGTTACACAATGAGTTAATCTATAAGTGTGTATAATTGAAGCAAGAAATTGATAGACATAAGAGAAATCAGTTGTGATGGTTCACTCTCACAAAACAACATAACCAACGATTGCTTCTCGAGGTATAACATTTTATAGTTGTTACATCATATATATATCACGATGCAACTTTGGTAGACTGAAATTATTCTTACTTTTGTCCTACTAAACCTAGATGAATAATTGAAAAAGGAGTGAAAGTTTGAGAGGACGACGATACTTAAATTTGTTATCGAAAGGATAAAAGCGCTATTTAGAGGTAAAYTCTACCATTTATTTACATTCTCTCATTTGTCATTTTGATTTTCATTCAAGTGATCCAATTTTCCAATAACAAAGTTTTCTCTATATTCTTTTTCCTTATTAAAAAGGAGTGATAAAAAGATGATTTGTGGAAGAGAAAAAAAGAAAGAAACTTGGGCAATTTGTATGATGAATACTATTGGAACAATTTCAAGGAATAGAAAAGGCAACAAGCATCTAAATAGGACAAAACTTATAAAGATGTTTTGGGTGTTTTCCTCTCTCTCTCCCTAAATTAATCACCAAATGATACAACTCAAGAAAGCTCCAATAATGTACATTTTGGACTCTATCCTCTACTTTATAGGACACCCACCACAAGAATTTGCATTGAGAAAAAGAAAAAAATTTGGTACTAAAGGAGTACTGTACTCTTTTTATTCACACTACGATTTTGTTTTCATAAATAATTCTTTAATGTTGGTGGACTCTCGTAGATAGTAAATGGAAGGATATCCGTACTCTCGTAGTACTAGAAATTTTTCATACTCCTTTAGTTCACACTATGATTTTGCTTTTATAAATATAAATAATTCTTTAATATTGGTGAACCCCACATCATTTTTAATACGATACTGACATGGTAGATAGTGAATAAAAGAAACGTCCAGGACTTCTTCAGTACTAGAAATTTTCTGAAAACATCACCAATTGCCAACCAATTGCCAATGCTATTCAACAAATACATATATTTTTTTGTTGCTTTAATGGGGTGCATTGAAAAGTTACCCATCTAATATCCCTTCTTTTTCTTCCCTTTTTTTTCATTTTTTTGTGCAATCTCTCTCTCTCTCTCTAGAATTCTTTTTGAAAAGGCAACAAAAATAGAATTGACAAGATGAGCAATGGGAGGGGTAGGATGTAGGGGGTGGTGGCACTAACCCATGCGCGCTTTGCCCCACAAATGTCATCTATCATCACCCTCTCTCTATTTATTTGCCTTTTTTTTTACTTTCTTTGCTTACTCCATCATCCTTCTTCTAACATAATTTTATTTCCCAATCAAATTCTTTTCTCTCTTTATTGTCACTTTTGTGTATAATGGATCAGTCCAAGTACCCCTTTTAAAAAAATATAATTTTCTATACAAAATTCATTTTTTAAAGTTTCAAAAGTATGGAGAAACGAAAAAGATGGGTAAATAAGTTCGAATATGTATACTTAACGATTGTTTTATACGGATGTCTAGTCCATGAGTTTGACTTATACAACTCAGAGTTGAGAAGTTGTACATGTATGTGGTTTGTTAACTCTATATGTCGTATAAATCTAAGTTGCATTATACAGATGTTCTAGCGAAAGGGATTTTTTAATTGGTTAAAAGTACTTTTCACCACAATGATGTCATCTCAAACTCACATATCTTGTCATATAACAAGTCTATGTCTCTGTTGAACTAAAATAAATGGATGCATTCAAAAGGCAAAGGAAACAATATTATTGAGTAGCACACCAGAGGACAAGAACGTATGTAAATATCCACATGATGTACACTACAACTACAAGTACAATTGCAGAAATGACTGAACTAACTCTGCAGTTTCTGATACAATTGGACAGGAAAACATACTGAAAATCTGTACTTTCCTACATATCTAACATACCCAAATCTCAAACACACTCACAGACGAGAGAGAAAAAGTGGGAGAGAGATGGTCAAAATCTTTCTAATGACAATGTTGACTGAGCAGTCCACTCAATCAGACAAGAGCCTCAAGTGTGGGGAAGCAGCATTTTTCTTTCAACTTCTCTTTTCTCCAGTAAAGATTATGGTATTACATGAATGAGAGAAAAAGCTCTTTATTGAGTGGAAGACTGGCTTTCAAAGCAAGTACACAAATTACTTGCGAGTGTAGCTATTCCCTCCACCAATCAGACAAAATTTTCCACTCTGAAAGTAACTTTTTACCTTGCTGAGTGAGTGTGGTTAGGACCTCAGCTACTCTCTGTCTTTTAGCAGCTAGCAAAATGTGACCCCAGTTCCACCAACAAGCTCAGATTTGACCAGATTTTAAAAATGACATGCCTGATTGAAGCAATCTTACACGGTTGGCCATTAATTTTCACGAGCAGTTCGACATCGAGTAACTCTGGCATCTAGTGTCCCTTGCTCGGGTCACAACGACTTGACAATGATTGAAGTAACAAAACTAAGAAATGATGAACAAAGGTTAAAGTTAATGAGTTAATCTTAAATCATCAAAGTCATCAATACCATCATGAAAAAACTTTATACAAAGGGGTGCCGTAGGACGACAAGATGCGACAATGTTTAGGTCGACTAGCACTCTTATGATGTGGAACGGCATCCTAGTTTTCTACTTTGTCTAGATCTCTATCGACTCTTTTGCGTTCGTAATATCATGTAAGATTTCCTGTATATTTTGAGAAGAAGAAATAACAAGGTATACTTTCATATAATCAAAGAGATTTAGAAGGTAAGAACCAAGTGTCTGGTCCCCTAATTTCTTTGTATAAAAGAACCAAAGATATTAATCACAGAAAAGTTCCTTCTTTCACCTCAACTTTAAAATTTTGTCCTCATGTTGAGGTCACAGTTGTCTTCATCGTGCTAAACAAATATGCATTGGGACTTGGTCAGAAATCAGTGATTATAAAATATTGAACCTTTTCTAATTGTTTAAAGAACAATCTGAGACAAGATGAGCCACCACTTAAAATTTTGAGTACTCTGTTTTTCTCAGCAGTGTTTTCAAATCTTAGTCCATTTCCAGTGCAATAAATAAGCCCCCTGCTCATCTATCTTCAAAATACATAACATACAACTTTACATGAATATAATATAATACTTAGTGCCTTGAAAGTTGAAGTTTTTCAGCTACTTCTGCCTTTGTAGTGATATCTTCCCTCACTCCTTTTCCTTCTCCTTTTCTATCTTTTTGTGGGAAGGTGGGAGAAGGTTGAGTAAACATTTAAAATTGTGGCCATTATCTGTAATTATTGCTCTGAAATTTCTAGGATAAGTGTAAATGATTGGATCAAATTGCACTAAAGACGACCAAAATGAACCTGAAAGGAGAAAAATCATCTGCTAAGAGATTGCCTCAGGGCCAATTTGCATTCCTACAGTACTATCCCCAAAACTCAAGAATAGGTGGAGAAAAGGTTAAGAAAGTAAAATTATATGAAGAGCATCGTTCCGCCTCGAACCTCTACGATTCAAACACCAAGAAGAAAGAGACCTACCTATAACCTCCCTTTAGTTCTATGCCTGGTTCAATCTCAGCTATGAGATTCATGAGTCAAGTGGACTTAAAGTACTTGTATTTTAAATGAATGTTGTGCCATTTACTATATTGATAGCTTCTTTATAACTCTGCTCCATCAGTAGTTGCTGAATAGGGATGTGGAAAGAAGGGCTTTTGTTGCCTTCTCCATCTTCCTTTTGCTTACATCACTAGATTGAATTGTCTAGTAGAGATTTTCCTTTCTCCTTTTATTTCTAATCAACTTCTTGACATCCTTTAATGTACCGTGCTTCTTTTTCTAATCATTCAACCATCACAATAATTATACCTCCCACAATATGTATGCTTTCTCTGATGTAAACAAGACATGATGTGAAAATTATTATCAACACAAAGACAATCAATTCTCCTGTATATGTTTGAATCATGCATATATCATAAACTCATGCTAATCGACATGGAGTAGCCACAATGAGAAGAAAGATACACATATATAGTGGAGTACCTGGACAATCTCGTGACATGAAAGCAAAGTAGCTGTGCCGTAATAGGACATAGACATGATCTGCATGATATTCTAGTGATTCAAGCTCTGAGAAACTTTCTCAAAATCACTCCATGTTCCTGAAAGTGGGCCAAGGAAACTTTTTACATACTATAAAGCACCTTTCACCACCCAGCTTCCCACTCTCCCTAAACACTCTCTCCCCCTTCCAAGACCCAGCAAACTTTCAACAAGGCCTGAAAAATGCAGCCTGGTGAAGTCACAGGCCTCCAATATCTGGTCCCGCCCAATTTATCTCCATATGCTACTCATTTTCCCATGGCTCAGAACAACTTACCTACAATGCAACTTAACCAATTCTCTAGTCCTTTATATAATTTCCAAGTTCCTTCTCAAGTTCAAGAATTTAATCGACAGCCATGCTTAAGTAGCAATTCAACTTCTGATGAAGCAGATGAGCAACAGCAAAGTCTAATCAATGAGAGGAAGCAGAGGAGGATGATATCCAATAGAGAGTCTGCACGGCGGTCACGTATGCGCAAGCAGAAGCATTTGGATGAGCTGTGGTCTCAAGTGGTTTGGCTTAGGAATGAGAACCACCAGCTTATAGACAAGCTGAACCAAGTTTCAGACTGCCACGACAGGGTTATTCAAGAAAATGCAAGACTCAAAGAGCAGACTTCTGAACTTCGTAGAATGCTCACAGACCTACAGGTCAATAGCCCTTACCCCAACTTCAGAGAACTTGAAGATATCCCCCCCAACACAACATCTGAGAGCTGAGTCTGCACCAGTATTGTGACAAGTTATATAGATAAGCCAGGGTGAGGAGGAAAATTTTTTACAGTTCCCTTTCTCCATTTATGAATCTTCTGTCTCCAGTCTTTTCCTCCATTTAGTCTGTAGCTTCATGCACGTGAAGAATAACTGCAATAACTTCTGTTTGAGAATTTTCATTGCCTAATGCTTAGTTATGATATTTTACTTTTGGCATTAAAGACAGCTTACACTGAACTTGCTCCATATGCAAACTCGGTAAAAGACCCCTCTTGATCCTATTCCAAAAACAGTTAGCAAAAATAATGTCAAACAATTTTGTTGATATATGCACCTAATAACAAATTCAGTAAGACAAACAAATTAAAGGCAGTGGTTCTCTAGCTCAACGCTATTGGGTATCTTCTTTGGGTGGTGTGGCTGGTGAGAAGAGTGTTTAATGATACCAAGTGGCCCTGGGTGGACTATTGAGAGAGCCTCATCCTTTTGGCTTCCTCTTGAAATGGAATATCGAAGGCTTTTTGCAATTATCTAAATTCTTTGTTTAGTTGATCCCAGGCCTTTTTTGAAGCTCCTTCATGGGCCCTTTTTCTTTTTCTGGCTGCCCCTTCTCGTTGTACGCTTACTTCTCCAATGAAGTTACTTAAAAAATTGAGGCAATCAAGAAAACTAGTATAGGAAGTTTTTTTCTTGAAAGTAACTACTGTGATTCCGTTTCATATTGTGCAGTGAAGAAAGTAGTAATCATGATGTTGAGTGAATGGACAAAGAAAGCAATGAGCAGTATGGATGGGATGATCTGGATGTGATGGAGAAATAAGTGGTGGTGGGTGATGTTTGTTACAGTACAAAATTAACATTAAAAATAAAAATGAACAAAATGTTATCTAAAGAAATTCTAGCACTGGTTACACCTATTGAAAGCTTCCATGTTTGAGAATAGACCAGCGCGGTATGTTTCAAAAACTTTTACATAGGACCCAGAATAGTCCTCTGTTAACCATTGATAAACAACCTCTCTTTTCCTTCTACAATTTTCCATCCAAACAGAGCCTTTAACCTTTTGTTCCTTTTCTAATACATTCTTCAATATCTTCTGCCAATTTTCAAAATTTTAATTTAATGCTGAATTTTTATATTGCACCACTACTAATCCTATAAATTCAGATGATATCATCAGAGCACATAGAGAATAACAGCAGGCAAAATATAAGGAAAAACCAGCCAAATTCTAGTTGTCCTCCAAAGATTAGAGCACAAGCAGATTGAGGAGATAAATCCATTTCCTTCCCAAGGATAAATGTTCATCTTCTTCTGCACGGTTCTATCAATCACCAAATAATCCCAATTGCCGTAGAGGGACTATTTGGGTTAACCCAAGAGAAGACCAAAGTCGTCGAGGGTTTCATCGCTCAAAGCAAGGATTCAATAACAGAATAACAGCCATTTCATTTTCACTTGTAGACAATTGATATCAGCAATTAAACTCTTGGTTATTTTAATTTTGAGCCCAACACTATATAGCGAACTTCGAGAACTTCAACCACAAACATAATCTTCTTCCTGTCCTTTGGCCACAAATGGACTATCATCAACAAATTAAAGGTAAGTTTTAATTCCTCCTGGTGGATGTCTGTCTCGAAGGATTTTTATAATTTTTAAGTGTTATTCTTTTGGATTGGGGCCCTTCTTATAGGCCGGTCCCTTACGTCAACTAGTTTTATTTTTTTTTTTTTTTTTTATACAAGATACAAACTTTTCATTGAGATATGAAAATGAACAAAATTATTCAAAGATACAAACTCCGAAATGAGTGAATAGAAATAAAGGAAAAACAAAAAAAAGCAAATAATAAGAACTTTTATCAGCTTATTTTTTGTATGCCCTTCATATATTATTTTATTTTCTCTCAATAAAAGTTCAGTTTCTTATGAAAATAAACAAATTAAAGGCACTACTACAAAATTTTCCACTTGGTTAGGATCTTTACCTCTATAGACATATTGGCCGACAGCTACCAAAATGAACAAGCAAGGAGACAATGGATCCTCCAGATAAAGATTACCACTAGCTCTAGCTTTAAACATGCCCCTCAATTTTCATTCATCGCAATAGAGATGTTTGATGTGCACCAGAATTCAAGATATAATTCCTCCACCTATCACCAATACCTTTAACTTAAAGGACGTAATAAAAAATCACAACCATTTCGTAAGCTTTTTTAAATTGATTTATATGTTCACACCTTCATTCTCATTAATACTAATCTGCAGTCTTGCTAACCATCAAAATAGCATCCAATATCTATCTAATCCCCCAAAAAGCTCTCCCTATTCATTGCACAGTCTCTTGATAGACGATTATGAGTTATATGAAGAACCTAAGAAATAATTATGTACAGAAAAGTATTATGATCGCGTTAAACTTCTTAGAAGAAAGCATATGTAAGTTTCAGTTGTTAATAGTGATCAAATCGAAAACCTCTCCTTAAACTCCACAAACTCCACGGACAGATCCTTTTATACTGTCTCCCAATTCTCTTCCAAGAAATTACTGGCAAGACCATCAGAGGTGAATACTTATCACCCTGTAGATCAAAGATGCTCACCTAATTTCCTCCACTCCAACCAGATTTTCTAACACACTCTCTCATGAAAGGAAATGGGAGACTAGTTGAGTAGAGTCTACCAAACACTACCAGCACTTACAACCCACTGTGATGGAGGCTCCTATAGCCATTGATTATCTTGCCACCGGTTTCCTCTTTCTCAAGAATTCTCCCATTAACCACCTTAAGAATAAGGGGAAAAAGAAAGTGCTGCTATCATATCACCTTATTAGGTCCAACATAACCTATTTTTATGCCTCCAAACAGTTCCACTTTGAAGAGAACCTCTGCTTCATTCTTACATTGACCCTAAATTGGGAACAACATAATGATAGCCCCAAAGTTGAGAACTATTAATCATCATTCTTACCATAAATCTGTGTAGGAATTTCTTATAGGGTTCTGACACATGACTTCCCTATCCAAATTACTAAACAAGACCACCAACTACATGAAATTAAGATGAAATCATGAAATGTCCTGCATACAATTTGATGGGCAAAAGAGCCATCCAATTTGTTTTACATACACAAGAATGGCAGCATGAAGGAAATTGGAGGAGGGAGGAATAGTTAGTTAGGTGTCATAGGGAAATATTTTGTATGGGAGATAAGGTGGGATCCCTAAGAGATATTGGTCTAGAAGAAGTATATAAGGTAGGAGTAGGAGAATAGTAAGCGTAAGGGATTTGGTTATTTTGGTACTGTGGAGAGCCCAGACCACTGGGAACCTTAGTAAATCCCTTTCTTTCGTGTGTAAATTGCATAGCAGAAAGAAACTCTCTCCAATTGTCACGTCAGAATTATTCGAGTAAACATCAAAGTCTCCATAACTCATTGTGATAACTATGAAGAATAATTTAGTGAGTTGTGAGTTAAAAAAGGAACACAATTAGACTTGTGTCGGATATATCATACTGCAAGTGCAGCCCCTTATGGCTTCTCTAGAAGTGAAATAAACTTGTATCATAAGATGATTCTTTATGTATTTGTCACACAGCTTTGTCTTAATGTCCTTCAAGTAAATATGATTTTAGAAGGCATTCCTAGCTACGTCCTAGGCAAGCCTAAAATAAATGCTTGCAATGCAACCTTTTGTAAGGGAAGAAATCAAAGCTTGATAAATTGACCAATGGGTCCTTTTTCATCTTACATTTTATGATTTTTTAAATGTTAGAACCATGAACCAGTAGTCTGCACATTAAAAATATCATCAACTCTGCCTCTTTCCATGCTTATATTATAAAATATGGGCTTTAAGTTGAACTGTGTCCTCGTTGTAATATAAACAAACGACAGAAACTAAGTCTAATGTAAGTTCATTTCTGATTTCAGAGCCCCACTGATTAAATTTTACTGGGTAATTTCTATTTTCTACATTCAGATACATTACAGAAAACCCAAAAAGAATAACTCCATTTTCACCGTTCCACTTGAAAACTCGTGGTAACTTGAGCCAGTAGCGTTTAGAACCCAGAGTAAACCCAAAAGGAATTACTCCATTTTCACTGTTCCATTATAAAGGTTATGGTAATTTGAGCCAATGGTGCTAAGAACCCAGAAAGGAAAGCATATTTTGCTACGCTACTCTGCGAAGAGTTTCTAGTGTTAAATTCATAAGCAAGAGATTTCAATAAGGATCCATCCAACAAGCAAATCTAGCATACATATAAACTGTGATTTCATCCCAGACTCGAGCTAAAATAAAAAAATCTACACTGGGTTGAAGCCAAGCCCGAGGAAATAAGTGGGAAAAAGAGTCTGGGAAAGCAAGATTTCAAAACCGGCGAACACCAAGCATCATAACAATCTCTCTTTCAAGTAATCTTCCAGAAAACAACAGGGAAGTCTAAATGCATTTCTAGGACATTGTAATATAACTCTTCCACCATTTTTCTTACCAGCCAAGCAGAAGACTCCAAAGGAACCAGAGAGGGAAACTCTTACCTGAAAATGTGCAGGTGAGAAACGGGAAGTGGGAAAAGAGGAATTTTGGTTTTATGGTTTCCTCAAATCAATGAATTAACTTTGATCCTCCCTTTATTAAACAAAAAAATTTTTTGGCAGTAAAAAGTATAAAATTGTCCTGATTTTTAGTCTAAACTCTCTTAGCTTGGATCAAATATATTTAAAATATAAGAATGATGTTGATGGTCACCTTATTTGACCTTTCTTTTGGTCAAAAAAATGCACTCCATGTTTGGCATCTTTGTATCTGGGAAAAACATTTTGATATTTCAAGAAAATCAGGAAGGTCTAGAAGCATTCAAAGTTGAGGGGAAAATATGGAATATGTAAATGTAAGAATATTTATCATTTTCCCATGTCAACTCGGAAGACGTTGGCTTTTCATAATTGAGCTGTTGAAGCTTAAAGGTTGGTCTGAAAACGAAGGTTAAAAAATTCCCTCTTTTGTTTTTAGAAGTTTTTTTTTTTTCCCTTTAATAACACTGGATGATTTGAACCATAATATTTTGATCGATATTTATGCTTTAATAAGTGGAGGGATGGTTAAAGATGTGCTCTTTTAACTTTAAATTTTTCGCTAAAGCGAGCATAACTCACTAGTAAAGTAATTAACATATCTCCCGCCTAATGATTATGAGTTCGATCATTCACTTCACGTGTTGTAAGAAAAATTAAAAATTAAACATCTTCAATTCTTTTGACATAAAAAAATATATTTAATAACTACTTTACACGTTACGAATAGTGATATATTTGTTAATCCAAAGACTAACAAAAATAACTATAGATGCTTATGAATTGAGTTACGAAACTAAACCTAATTTTAAATAGGTAAGCTCCCTAAACTCATATTAATAAATATTAATTTTTAAATATAATATTTTATAAAAAAAGAATAATATTTGGATCAAATGGTCACGGCCAAATCTTAGCTCATTATCATTAAAAAAAATATTTGTTTTTTATTTATTTCTCTCAGTTGTCAAACATATTTAATGATGGTAACGATAAGATTCCTCGAACCGACTATTTTTCTTTTTTAAAATCTTTATGAAAAATCAAAATATATTTTAAATAAAAGACAAAGTTTAGGTGTATTTTTATAATCTAGCATAAAAATATATATAATTTAAATATAAATATGGCGTATATATACGTGATATAGGGAAGGGTATCTTCACCAACTCCGTTGGCGAAAGGCTCCAATCGCACCTTTCGTTTAATATTTCACCTAACATCGCAAAAACTCGACATTTTCTGTTCGAACTTCTCCCCACCTACCAATTTCTCTGGGAAAGGCTGCTTTTTTATTTCTCTTTTATATGGGTCAATTTTTTATTTGTTGTTTCTCCACTGGAGAGTCTCCAATTTTGACCTGCCAAAGCTCTATATAGCGAGTTCACGTTCAGCCCAACAAATATCTCTGTAATATCACCACTTTTCTTTAACACCCATTTCATTTTGATTGGCTTTCTGAGAAACCCAGATCTCTATTTTCTTGGGATTTGCTTCTTTCTTCATCCCATATCCGTCGGAACAGAAAGCTTTCAGGTTCGCTTTCTTCTGGGTTACGCCCTCTATGTGTTTGCTGAAATTCCCCGCCCATTTTTTAATGGCCCTTCGAGTCCTTTGACTCTGCCACTTGCCATGCTGCTTTTTCAATTCTAATTTCCATTTCTCTTCCTGTGATTTTAAGTATTCTGGTAGAACATTACTGCCTTGGGATCTTAATCCCTTCCCTCATTTTTGAGCTATTTTTGTTTCTTACTCTATATATATATATATATATATATATATCTATTCCTTTTTTACTGTTTGATCTAAACAATAATTGAGAAGTTATAGATGCTACTGATTCTTATGTTACTGACATGATCCACCGATCTTACTTTGATACGCAGCGTGCGGGGAGGCATAAGCAAGATTGTAGATCTTGCTTTGATTTTATGATTCATGGCCATTATTTTTATGATTATCGAAGTAGCTCTTGTTGATCTCTGAAATTCTGGTTGTTTTATTTTAGTTTTTTTTTTTTACTGGTTTTATGGTTGAAACATGAGTATAGAATTCCTGAAACAAATTGGAGGTTGTTGTCTCTCTTTGGGAGTGACATGTTGGCATCTTAGAGACTAAGTTCGAACATTTAAGGCTGTTTGCTTTCATTCTCAAATTTTCTTTACCAGAGATTCTTTCTGCACTCAAAACTTTTTGTACTCTTCTTCTTAGTGGTTATTGTAACAAAGAAGAAGAAATGCTACTATTAGAGTGAGTTAGGATTTTTACTTAATTGGGAAGAAGTATTAATTGAGTACTCTTAAAAGTCAAAGTGCTTTTTAAGTGTTTTAAAATTATTTTTGACTATGTAATTAATTATTATAAACGTTATACAAATGATTAAGTTTTAACTAATTAAAATACTTTTCACCATGTCAAAGGTTATGCCAAACTCGCCCTTAGAGTGAGTTTGGGATTTGGGATTAGTAATTTTAAGTGAATCACTTTCTTTCAAGGACCATCAGCTCTTCTTTGATTGGCTTCTTTTAGGGAATGCATTCTTTTTGCATATTTAGTAGTTTTATCAAGGGATATTTTTTGACATACTCAACAATGGTGATTGGTCTTTTCATTTTCTGTAACTTGAGTTGTACAATGAGTTCTTATTTTTGGATCTGTAGCGAACTATATATTCGCCTTTAATCATGTTCTAATTATGAATCTCAAATGTGAGGTAGGTATCAAGCATGGCTGCTCCTGCAAAACCTACAAGGATTGGCCTCGCTGGTCTGGCTGTTATGGGTCAAAACCTGGCTCTCAACATTGCAGAAAAAGGCTTCCCTATTTCTGTATATAACCGAACAACTTCCAAAGTAGATGAAACAGTTGAACGAGCTAAAGCAGAAGGAGACCTTCCTCTCTATGGCTTCCATGATCCCGAATCCTTTGTTAAATCGATTCAGAAACCTCGTGTCGTAATCATGCTCGTTAAGGCCGGGGCACCAGTTGACCAAACCATAAAAACGCTCTCTGCGTACTTGGAGAAAGGTGACTGTATAATTGATGGGGGTAATGAATGGTATGAGAACACTGAGAGGAGAGAAAAAGCTATGGCTGAATTAGGTCTGCTCTACCTTGGAATGGGAGTTTCAGGGGGTGAAGAGGGTGCTAGGAATGGTCCTTCTTTGATGCCTGGAGGTTCTTTTGAGGCCTTCAAGTACATTGAAGACATTCTTGTTAAGGTGGCAGCTCAAGTTCCCGATAGCGGTCCCTGTGTGACTTACATCGGAAAAGGTGGGTCAGGTAACTTTGTCAAGATGATCCACAATGGAATCGAATATGGTGATATGCAGCTAATTGCAGAGGCATATGATGTATTGAGATCTGTGGGGAAGTTGTCAAATGAGGAACTCCACCGCGTTTTCTCGGAATGGAACAAGGGCGAGCTTCTAAGTTTCTTGATTGAGATCACTGCAGACATTTTCAGTATCAAAGATGACAAAGACGATGGCTACTTAGTCGACAAGGTTTTGGACAAGACCGGAATGAAGGGTACAGGTAAATGGACTGTGCAGCAAGCTGCTGACCTCTCAGTTGCGGCCCCTACCATTGCATCTTCTCTTGATGCAAGATTCCTAAGTGGTTTGAAAGACGAGAGGGTAGAAGCAGCGAAAGTCTTTGGATCGGGTGGCCTCAGCAATGTCTTGGTGCCTCAAGAGGTTGACAAGGAGAAGTTGATCGACGATGTGAGACAAGCTCTTTACGCATCAAAAATATGCAGCTATGCTCAGGGGATGAATTTGATCCGTGCCAAGAGTATTGAGAAGGGATGGGACTTAAAGTTGGGGGAACTCGCCCGAATTTGGAAGGGAGGTTGCATCATCCGAGCCGTGTTCTTGGATAGAATCAAGAGGGCCTATGACCGAAATCCCGATCTAGCCAATCTTCTTGTGGATCCAGAGTTTGCAAAGGAAATCATCGAACGACAGTCAGCTTGGCGAAGAGTTGTATGTCTGGCCATCAACTCAGGTATCAGCACCCCGGGAATGTCGTCAAGTCTTGCTTACTTCGACAGTTACCGTAGGGAGAGATTGCCTGCAAACCTGGTCCAGGCTCAAAGAGACTATTTTGGCGCTCATACATACGAAAGAACCGATATCGAAGGATCTTTCCACACCGAATGGTTCAAGATCGCCAAACAGCTCAAGGATTGAATGTAATTCGGCACCATAATCCGAAAGTAAGAACTCTTTTTTTATTTACAATAATCTCAGCTCTGAAGTGTTGTTGATCAGAGCTCATTCCATAAGTATTTTGGAGTCAATTTGGTTACATTACTGTATTGTATTGTTTTTGTTTCAAGTCTGATGAACGTGTTGTCTGATATGGTAATCCTTTGCGAGATTTTCCATTTGATTTTATTCTGAGAAATGTTGATTCAGGAGTTTAACTTCAAGCCACCAGAGTTTCTTTCTTTTTCTTTTTTCCTTCTTAAAAATGAAAAATAAATAAATTAATTAATTAAACCTCTACAACTTTCAAGCTCATTCTCGTTCTCTGTTTCTAGCAAGAAAAAAAAAACAATTATTTTGGACAATCTCATTAATTTAATTATTCTCGATAGAAATTGTTTTTATTTTTACATAGATGTTTTACACTTGAGTTTATTTAAGTAATAGAAAAATCTATAGAAAGTATACATTTTAGGACTAAAATGAAAAATAAACGAAATTAATTTCATCTATTCATCCAGGTAAAAAATAAATTTTGAAAGAAAAAGACTGTTCCATTTTGTATATTCACGCTTTTTTAGAGATATATATATATTTTTTTTAATTTTAACTTTTTATATAATCTTTTATAAATCTAAATTTTSAGAAGAGTTGTTGTTTAGAGAGCACAGGAGGATGAATCGTGGTTTACCTTGTGGCAATTGTGAACTTAGCTGATACAGAGTCATATGATACCACCCCATTTTTTTGATTCGGTAGTTCGATCTATGATTTATCATTCATGGACGTCGATAAGATCCTTCCATTTAGCAACAACACCTTAGGATGGCAATGGAGACAACTTCTCCCTTCTTCATTCCATTCATAGTTGTAAACGATGGCTTTTTTTTTATTAAATAAAATAATAAAGAAAAATATAAATGTTATGAGTGACCCTTAACATTAATTTGAACATTTTAATATATTCTTCAATCTTATATGATAAGAAAGGATTTTTCAACGAAGTCTGACATTAATGTTTTTTAAAGTAAAAGAGAAAATGGAGGATAAGAACATCATTTTCACTAAAAAGTACCGTTTGCTTTGCATTTCTTTTCTTTAACAATTGAAGAACTATTGAATTGAAAGATGATAATGGTATATTTTATCTTGTTATCCATTTTATACATATTATGGATAAACTTCAAAAGAAAATTAAAGCAATATCCAAATTTGATTTTCCTTGATACTTAATTATAAGCTCATAAAGTAAGTCAACTATGAATTAACAAATTTCATCCTCTCATTTGCATAAAATAGGCCCATAATGTCCATATTCCATGCCACATTCATATGGATCATACTAAAGTTTAGACTTTGAAGATTCCCTTTTCAATTTCTTTTATGATTGAATAATCTTTATTTCATACATATCCTTATTTATTTTAGTTGACCTATTTTTTAACTAGCTAACATGTATTTAGCCTTTGAAATTTAAATAAATAATACTCTGTCGTTTTATATCTTAAACTATACCTATCTTATACAATTATAACTCTTTAGAAAAAAGTTCATATACAACAGTTTGAATTTATACAATATATACTGAATGATTTGTAGATTTGAAAGCTAATTAATTTATTATTTCAACTCGTGTGATATAAGTAAATTCTGCACGAACTAATATATCAAATATAGGCTCAACCTCATAATTTCAAACTAAACAAATTTAATTCGGAAACCAAATAGGACAGTAATTTGTAATTATAATTATAAGGTAGCTTTTCATTCACAAATTTAGAAAATTTAAGTTTATATAAACATTGGAAAACTTCGAATTTTTAAATTTAATTAAGTTGAAAATATGTGGTATGTTATTTTATTTTATTATTATTATTTTCTTTCTTTCTTTCTTTCTGGTTTGGTTTGTAAATTTAAGTTGGATTTTGTTGTCGTAATAAATTTCAATGGCGGCTATGTCGGCTGCCGCGGCAACCAGAGCATTGCAGCTGCCATTTTTTTTAATTATTATTTAAAACTAGCTTTAATTCATTCGTTTTATGTGCTTTCAAATTATATATTTTAACATTTTTATTTGTTAATTTTAGCTAAAGTTTCAAAAACGTTATTATTAAAATGTAGACTATATAAAAGGTTTGGTCAAGGATGTACAAAGGGACAACTCTAATGATATAGGAATTCTAAACTTTGAAGGTAAGTATTTTTTTGGATTATACTTCAAATAATATTTAGCTATAGCCTGACGAGCAGTTATAATAATATATTTTTTTATTAATAGAAGAGATGGATAAAATATATATATATATATATATATATTAAATAGTTGTCCATTTTTAGAGTCTGGGTAGATAACTATTAAAAAATACCACTGTTTAGTTGATATTTTGAATTTCCAAACTTTAAGTTGAAATACTAGTTTGATCTTTGTACTTTTAGCTTCGTTTATTTTGATTCTTATATTTTCAAAATTTTCAAAAGGTTCGTTTTTGTCTTTATGCTTTTAATTTTGGTTCTTTTGGTTCATTTTAGTTATTGTACTTTCTTTATTTTGATTCACGTAGGTTTAAAAAGTGACTATTTTGGTTTCTTAATTTTATTTATAATCTCATTTTTCTATCACAATTTTAAGATAGATCCTAATATTTCTTAAAAATGTAGACATTACTTTATATTAAAGAATTTCCATTATATAAAATTTTATAATTTAAAAGTTTAAGATTTTTAAATCACAGGAGGGTGAAATTACAAGTATTTTGGTTTTAATGTCTTGACCAAGAATCAAAATAATAAATATACGTTTTGTTTAGTGTTATGATAATATTTCACACCATCCTTATATACACCAAAAAAAACTGATAAAAAAAAACTTACAACTTACAGATGAGAGGATTTGAATCTTCGAAGTTTTAATTAATATTTTGATGGAGTGAATTATGGTTAGGGGAAGAACTAAATTAAATATGTAAGAGAAGATATTCCTTTCCTCTTGTTCGTCTCTTCTCCAGTGAAATTATACCGGAAGAAAGCTTTTGATAAATTTGTACAGAAAGAAACATTTTACAGTGAAATAATTTTCTCAGAACTTCAAATCGAGCATGGAGATAGAAGAAATTCAAATCGGAAGCATAAAATCGAAACAGAGATGAGCAGAGGACACAGATCATAAAGACATTTTTAACTCCGTGGTATAAAATTGAAATTCTACATTTACTCCTCTTTATCGATTTACACGTTCCCGCCGCTGCCAAAAATAAAAAGAAGAAGAAAAGAAGACGATCGATGATCCGAAATCGACAATGCAATCACCTGATTTTCAAAACTGCTCGATCGATCGAGAGGAAGAAGAATCGGACGACGAACAACAAGGCGTAGCGAGAAATGTCGGCGTATCGTTTCCGGCCATTATGACGACAATTTTAGGCTGCAGATCGGCTGCGGTTATTTCAGGCGTATGGATGTTAGTGTTCTGATCCTGATCTTGTGGCGGCGAGTTGGAAGCAGAGCGTCGTGGTTTCCGGTTGGAGCAAGCGAGGAAAATCAATGCCGTAATGATGAGTAGTAGAGTTAGGGCTATTCCGCCGAAGAGATAAGGTATCGGAGAGTTCCAGAGGTGGCGGCCGGATTTCACGGCGGAGGCGGAGGCGGCCAATGATCTCATTCCTCTCATCCTCTGTGTGGTGAATGGAAGAGGCGGTGAAATGAAAGTGGAAATTTTAATATTTATAGACCCTCAACCAAAATATTAAATTTACATCCACGTCCCAAAATACACTTAAATATTTGACAATTAAGAGAAAGAAATACAAAAACAAAAAATATTTTAAAAAAATGATAAGTTGTCAAATATTAAATGGTGGTAAGGACAAGATTTCTCCTTACTGGTGAGGAGCCAAATATTTTCCATATTTTTATAAGCATCAATTCACACTCACGAACTCTTCGTGTCTTAACTAGTTGAATAAGTTATTGAAATTTTTCCAAGCGAGCACACATCAATAATTAACGTATATCTCTAATTAAGAGGAAGGTTATAAGTTCGATTCATCCCGCGTATTATACTTAAGAAAAATATAATTACATGATGGAAATTATAAAATATTGTTATTAACCATCGTCTGAAGGTATCTTTAAACTAATTATCATAGGTTGGTTTAATGGACAATTAAAGACTAATGTAAATACTAAACAACTTAATATTCTACGAGGGTGTTTCTTTGATAACCAAATGATTGTTTCGTGAGATTTGTGTGCATGACGCAGACACTCACGGAAAAATTTATGCTTAAACTCACTCTTAATATTTTATTAAACTTAATTTTTTGGATAGAAGATTACAATCTATTTTTAAAACATAAAATATTAGAGCACTATAATTTAGTCATTACGACTATAGGGCACGCCACTTTAAACCATAACCCTACATTCTTAATCATATTATGTCTTCCTATCAACATCATACAAATAAAAGAGATACCATATGAAAAAGCGTTAATTTCATTTGATTGAACTCTATAAATTCTATAGATTAATGACAAAATTAAGATACTTTCTCAAAACAAAATTTGAAAGTTAATAATAATAATAAATAACTAATTAATCAATCATCCCAAATATAATTAACTAAATACTTTAAAATTTAGTATAAAAAAAGCTAAAACTCTATCGCATAAAATATCCAATTCAACTATGAATATTGAGTGAAAAAAAAAAACACGTAATTAAGCCCGACACTGAAATGTTCCAACTCAAGTATAAACAGCATTCAATAGAATCATCAAGAACAAACACTCTCGCCTGACACAAAAGCTCACATCTTTTTCAAATACAACAAATTTGCGGCATGAGATTTTGAATCTCCAACTTCAAAGAAAGGAGTAAGTGTCTAATTATGGTTGAGTTATACTTGTCACAAGAAATCACATCTAATTGTCAAGTCTTCAAATTAAGAGAAATTCTCAACTAATAGAAAGTATATAATTTCTCCACTCGTTCAAGTTCAAGGCTCAATTCAATAAAATTAAAATTTTAAATTTTAATTGATCTCTTATCTGAAAGACTTTAGACTATCTAAAAATGTGTTTTAACCTATTTCATGTAAACTAAGGTTAAACATCTACTTTCAAACATGGCTTCACGTCCCTACCACATCATTTTAAAACACATGGATCAAATTCTTCTTTTTTCCACTGAAAAAGATATTACAAAATATAACAAAACGAAATCAAGTAAAAGGTTTAAAATTTCAGACACTCTATTTCTAAGAACTTTCTTCGATTAGGATCATTAATACCCACATAATTATAGCACATTGAAATTAAGTAATAAACCCTAAAACACCCACTTGAGACACCTTTGAATATGAACATGGGCTAAAATCAAGTGAAAATCCAAGAGAGTGAGGAAGTTGGGGCAATTTTTCATCCACATTCATTAAATTATAAACCCCATTAGAGAAAAGGGAAGAAAAAAACATGAATAAAATATGAAAAGTATTTGTAGTGGCCATAATATAATATATATTACCAATTTTCTATTAATGTCTCCCACTAAAAGGATTGTATGATGTGGAAATCAAATCCCATTAGCCTATAATTTCCCACTTTTTTTTAATAATAATAAAAAGGAAGTTTCATTTTTCATCCCTCTAAAATTGTTTGTTCCCCATTTATTAAAATGATCAAAATGCATGATCGAGTTGCCACACAACTT